GCTGAATGACCTTGAAGATGAAAGGGAGAGGAACCTGGGATCACCTCCTGCTTAAAAGGGAGTGCTCGTGCAGATTGCAGACAAAACTCTATCCACTGATGGATTAATGGTGACGGTCCCCTGACACGTCCACCAATTCGATTTGTTTGAATCTTAGAGGCCGCAGGAATTGCCTGCAAAAACAAGAACAAAGGCGAGAAAGGTAGGAAAAAAAATGTCAATGAATGTGTCTAAAAGGAAATGAAATTTATGACTAATTTATTTGTAAATTGAACGCAACCATCGTTAAATAGGTACGTCTGAATCCAGTGTGAATAGTTTATGAATTTCCTATTAAAAGGGTGCCAGTGAGTGTTGCCAGAAACCATATTAGATCATACCACATAATGATTCTTTTAAAATCATTAAGCTAACAGATGTCAAACCCTAAAAAGCAAGATAACAAGAGGCATACCCAAAGATCTGCCCATAAACTCGCTCCAGACTTTGGAACAACAACTGCAACATTTGACATGCGTTTGGCAACAGGAATAACATCGCTACTCCATCCAACAGCTACCCATACGTCTCCAACTCCAAAAGCTTTTAAATAGTTTGAACTATCAAAGAGTCGAATCTACAAATACATTAAGCAAAAATTGTTACTTAAATTTGTTATTTGGAAAAATAGAAAAATGAAAAATATTATTTTCTGTCAAGGTCAACTATTGATTTGTAAATCTTTGCACCCCCATTCCAAAATAATAACAATAATGAAAAAAAGTAGCAAAGGTTGAGAGATCATCCAATAACAATACCTGTTTTGCTAGCAAAGCCAAGTTATGCTTAACAGCCTCTCTCCCACCATTAACTTCTGTATCAATGTTATTTGTATTGTAGGAAGCCCCCATATATTTCAAAACTGCACCAACAACTTCTCTAGGAGAATCAACCATTGAAATCCTCCCTGCAAGATCAGGCCGCCACAGATCTGCCCAGTCCTGAAATTCCAGTTGACATACACTCACAAATACTTTACAAGAGTTTTTTTAAAGGCCTACTAAAAAGCAACTTACCTCTACAGCAGCCAAGTTATGCTTTTGAAATTTATTTGTCTTGTATGCTATCACCATGCAGCCCCATCGATATGGAGCAGCCCAAATATCACCTTTAGGATCTATTTCTCCCTCACAGTTCCTGCGTAGGTATACCTGGAACTTTGTTAGAGAAAGGAACATATACTATTCAATAGACATTCCAAAAGGATAATAACTAACTAAAGATTGCATAAGCTATAATTAAACTCAGGCATAGAAACACAAATCAACGAAATACAAATACCAGGTTCTTACTATGGTGACTATCAAGAGACGTGTCAAAAGAATGATAACTAAACATTGTATACTATAATTAACCACAGGAATATGCTACACGAATCAAAGAGATATATGCCAGGTTCTTACTATGATGACCATCAAGAGACATTCCAAGAAGATAATAACTAACTACACAATGTGTATAATTTATCACAGGCATATGCAACATGAATTTGAGGGGGCTTTATACATATTAGGTTCTCACTATGATGCCTTGTTATCTTCAGAGGCAAATTTAATTTTGCTTGTGTTAGTTCAGATGTCACTTTACCCTGTCAGCAAGAGCTCAGTATGAATAGTATTCAAGTTGTTATTCCGTATTATAATGGCTACTGTATACTGAGGTTCAGAACAAACAGATGCCACCATATATATAACTAAATATAATAGTGGCAATTCTCTGTCTAAGATTAACTATACTCAATTTCACTCTTCTATTAGCAGATATCTTACCTATTTTGTGCTTCTTCAGAATTTCAAATGTTTTTCTCTAAACCCTACCTTTAGTTCACATAAAGGTACCTTTAACCCTTTTTTCTTTGAAAAAAAAAAAGGAAAAAATAAAAGAAATAAAGCAACAGCAACAATAAAGACTTATCCCCTTTTGGAGTCTAGAGTCAAGGTCTTTTGGTTAACATCTCTTGCAAAATAAGCTAGGTAAGAATCCTCTGTTCTGTACAAGGAACTTAACAAAAAAAATATCGTGATCTAAGCTCTATCAGTTTAGCACAAGCCTAGAATTATTTTTCATAGACCAAATTGAATCAAGTTTAGTATAATATTCTTTTTAACTTAATTCACTCAAAGGATTACAAGCATATATACACTAAACAGAAACAACATTACCTAACAGAATAACAATCTAATAACAGCTGTATTAAACTAACTAATAATGAGTAACCTATACAGTCTTATGAAAATAACTAATATAATCAAATCAACACCCCTTTGAAGCTGGATATCACAAGCACCCAGCTTGCCACAAATGTATGCTATCTGAGGCCCGCATAAAGATTTAGTTAACATATATGCTAGCTCATCTGTTGAACCCATAAAGGAAGTCTTGATGACACCTGAAAGAATCCTCTCTCTAATAAAATGACAATCAACTTCTATATGCTTTTGGTTGTATCATGAAAGACCAGGTTGGAAGAGCGATGCAACAAGGCTGATTGGTTATCATGTGCAAGCTCCATAGAGGACTCACAATTTTAACTCCTGTAGCAGATGCTTTTGCCACAAAAGTTCACAAGTAATGTGAGCCATTGCACGATACTCAACTTCTGTGCTAGATCTAGCCACAACAAGTTAGTTCTTGGTTTTCCACAAAATCAAGTTTTCTCAAATAAGTATACAATACCATGTACTGGATCTCCTATCACTAGCATCACCAGCCTAATATGCATTTGAGGGTCCAATAACATTAGTATGACCTTTATCCAAAAAAATAAGTGTTTTACTAAGTGATCCTTTGATATACCTCAAGATCTGAAAACTTGCTTGCCAATGACTATCACATGGAGAATTAAGAAATTGACTCACAATGAAAGCTGTAAAACTCAGAGAATTTGAGTAAACTCGTGAAACGCCTGTAAACTCAACTCGTAAACATGTAAGAATTTACCCGGTGTAATAATTTTCATCATCAAGATTTTAAGCTCTTCAGGTACTGTGGCGAAAGGTTTGGTGTCTTCTTTAGCTCCAACAAGGTGATGCTTAAATTTAAAATTTCATCTGCTAATAATTTTTAAACAATAATTACATTTTAACTCTTCTAGCATGTTATCAACATCTATCCTGTGTTTCCACCCAATATCTGATCTATTTCCAACAACATTATTTCTCTACAAAATGCTTGTGTTGCTTGAAAATTTTGATTCATCAACTTGAGACATTTTATAACAAATAAATTTGCAAATTTTCAAGTTAACAGTCACTCAAGCAAAGCACAGTGGAGATTTCCTTTGCTGCTGCCTCTACCACTTTTACAAACACATCCTTGGGCTCCTTGATCAGATGAATCAGAAACTAAAACTGAAGACCTAGAGCCTGTTTGAGGATCAGTTCCTAACGAAGCAAATGGAGAGGGAACTAGTAAGCAATCAATGAGCTCCTCTAATGTAGGAACAGTGGGATTTGTCAGGTCGGATTCTGAGAAGGTTCAAATTCCTTGTGCAGACCATGAATAATAAACACCATAAGCATGTGTCAAGCTTAGCAGTCATCTTCTTAGCATCATCACTTACCATCATCAACATGATTTCCTTTAAAATAGATTGCACTTAGTTCACATAGGAGGGAAAATCAAGTCAATCATTTAAAGTGTTGCTAAAATTGTGAACTGACATCTGACTCATGTTCATGTAGTCGTTGGATGTCATTGGCATAAGATTTGAGGACAAATGCTTCTCAAGAAGAAGGGAATAATTAGAATATCATACGAGCAGTCCAAGTTTAGCAAGGATCCTAAGATCCATTACAAAGCTTAGGAAGACCCAAGAAACTCTCAAACGTGCTGAGCTCTTCATTGGAAGCCCAAATGAAGTCCAATATTTGAAATTTTAGAATGTACACATACATAGCTCACTTGGAATGAATGGAGAAGAGCCTATGGCGTCAATCTGAAGACTTTTAATTATTTTTGAAAAATAAATAAATAAGATTTTTTTTTCTACTACAAGAAACTCAAGCACTTGAAGCTAAATATGTCCCCTTAACCACTGGAAAATATCAATGATGCTGGGGCTAAAGGCTTTAGTTTTGTTAAGTTCAAAAGACAAACTCTTAAACTAAAATGTACTAAAACACTTGGAGATCATTTCAGGTCAAATACACATTTTTGGAATAAAAATAGAGTGAGTGTTTCCTTTGATAAGGTTCTTCCTTGCAACCATTGATCTTATCAAGAATTTTCCCATTCTTGTGGCTATTTTCTTGGCCTATCAAGCATCCTTGTTTGTAACACTATTCTATCCTTATTTATGGCAATTTCCTTGAATTATCAACCATCCTTGTTTGTTACCATCTCTCCACCCTCTATTTTGTTCTTAAGTTAGTAATTTTGTTTTTCCCAATTTTGAATTTTAGGGTTCATAGCCTCTTAATCTTTTCTGTCCAAAATAATTCCCAATCATATCTCGCACCATATATATCCCTTTTTTGTGGTTCTTGTACCAAATTTATAGTTCAGAACGTGAACTTTTACCTCATTTTAGAATCACCCAAATTCAAGTTCTATAGCGCAAGTTACATCCTAGTTCTAGTTAGGTCCAAATTCAAGAGGCTTAAAGCAATCCTCATCGTTAACAATGGCAGAGCTCTATTCACTGGACACAAACAGTATGGGTCAGTGCTTACAGCAGCTAGAACCCTAACAGAAAAAAGAACAAAGGAAAAAGGAGGGTTCTTGATACCAAGTACAAGTTGAACAGAGTTCAATATACACTTTTTTACGTAGTTCAATATACACTAAACAGAACAGTACCTAACAAAATAACAGTCTAATAACAGCTGTTATTAACTAACTAATAATGTGGTAACTATACAATCTTATGAAAAATAATTAATATAATCAACAGCCCCAACATTAGCTTTATAAGCCATTATGCAAACATGGTTTGGAACTTGGAAGGCATCTTGCTGCTCCCCTCTCTATCCTGGTCTCAAGGTAGGCTGGAATTCTCTCTGTTCAAGAAATTTTTAAAATATTTCTCAAGCATGGAAATTTATACTTGTATTTTAACCTATAGTGAAGAGTGCAATATTCATTCTAACGATATTTTTGCCCCTTTCTTCTGTTTCTCTCTCCTTGTCTGTTTTAGTTGCACCAACATTTTTATGCTCAAAGAATATTCATATAGGAAAGGAGATCAATATCACAATTATGATTTCTTTGTTGGCCTTCATCTTATGCACTGTAAGACTTGTAAACGAGTGAAAATACAAATATGTCACATAGTCAAATGCACACAAAACAACTATGATGTCTTTGTTGACCCTAATATCAATTATACACCTAATGATGTAAGTAGATATATCTAGGTTCAGAAAATCAATGCTTTTGTTATAAAAGAAGCAGAAAACCAATCCTGAGAGACAAGTTCAAACGAGAAGAAATACAAAGCATAGGGTTACCTTCCATTTCTCATCTAAGCTTTTAAACCATTCTTGATCTTCTACATCTCTTATTGGCTCAATTATAGCTTTGTTAACAGCAAATTTGAGCCATGAATCGCCAATTCCAACAATATCTGCTGCCAAAGCAGATGCTGGGCCAATATTTCTTTTAGTAAAGGAAATTGATAGATCAGAAAAGATATTCTCAAGACTTGCATAATACTTAATGTTAAACTTCATTCTCCTCCCTTGACAATTTATGAAGTCCTAAAAGTGAAGAAAAAATTGAGATGACAAACTATTAAATAAGTTACTGCAAATCCAAATAAAAAATATTTAGCATCTATAAGTACGCTGAAATGACATGTCAAATTCAAAGGAACCTCCAATATGAACTAGCACACTCTAGTAAATAAACCACTAGATGATAGAGAAATTTTTATAACAAGGCATGACTTTATCCATAGATTTCAGAGAACTTTTGAGAAAACACATGGAGAAGAAAACAGAATGACTCTTCACAGGAAGCAAAGGAAGAAAATAAGGTGCATTCAGCAATTCAAAACAGTTAACTAATCACAGATAATAACTTAACGAATATATGTCACAGACCTTGATCCATGAAGGAGGTATAGAGCCACGGAGAGCGACAACTTTCAAAGGGACAGTCAACGCATATGTTTTAGATTTCCAGGTGTTAAAAGCTGCTTCTAACTCCTTATCTACTACCGACTCTTTGCTGTCATGCTTTCTTCCATCATGATCATCTGTGACCATAAAATAACAGATCACAATATCAGCCAAGCCTTTTGGAGAATTCTATTTTCTTTTGATAAAACCTTATAGTATCTTCCTGCAGAAAACCCACAACAAGAAAAAGGATAAATACGAGTGTAAAATGTATATACCCCTAACCCAGGTAAGTGGTTACCATCATGACTTCTCTCAACCTATCCCAAAACAGTCAAAACAACTGATAGGTGGCAACCGCTATTTGAATTTGATCACCAGATAGAATTATGGGGATCATAGTAAAATTTGTAAAACTAACTTCCTTGTTAAAAGGAAATTAGCTAACAAAATTTCTGAAAAGTGTTGCAATGCAGGAAAAAATAAAAACACAATTAAAAATGAAAATATACCAGAAAAGAAAGAAGAAATTAAATAAACAAGACACTCAAAAACCCTCCCCATTCTTTGCAGGAAATTAGCGTGTTTGTTTTGAAGAAATAGGGGATGCTTTCCCGTTTGTAAACAAGTTCTGTAGGATTTACTTTAAATCAAATTCAAACAAATTAAACTCATTTAGATGATTATAGCGCCACCTTAAAGGGAAGAAATTCTGCTAACATTAAGAATCCAAAGGTGCGTTATCTTTTCGGGAATATTTTCAGTTGCCATTTTTTTTTTGCATGAAGAATTACAGAAACATACAAAAATGAAATCACAGTGAAATTTTCATAAAGACTTGGAAAGTTTAAGAATGACAAAAAAAAACGTTCTAAAGAATTTAAGAAAGCTAAAAACCGCACCAGTATTCACCGAATTCAACTGTAATTAATCATAACACGAACAATAATATATCAGACATTTGAAGTGTTCATTTGCTTTGAACCTTGAACAGTTTGCTCCCCCATAACCGAAGATGAACCGGCGGCAAGAGCTGCTGCCGGCGATGAGACCGAACACACGCGAATGCCGAAGCAGAGAAACAGCACGGCGGAGACGGCGAAGGGCACGAAAGCCTTAAGAGGCGTCGTTTCCGAAGGTGGCGGTCGGTGGGAAGCGAAGGCTGTGGGTGACGCCGGCGAACGGTGTGGGAGACTCCGGTGACCTGAGAATCGAATTGTTGCATTGAATCGCACTAGGGATTTGGTGGATGTGGCGGGGCTTATAAGAAAAGAATGGTAAGGGTTAGTAGGGTTAGGGAATAGATAAGGATAGCGCGGTGAGTGTGGAGAAAGAGGGTGATGCGTTTGCAGCAACACGCCCATTACTGAGAGAGACCCAAGGTCAACCTGTGCAGTACCCATTTTGATATGGCATTTTTAACATCGTTATAGGGTTTTCTTTTTTTTCTTTTTTTCTAGCTTGGTTAAAATTTTAAAAAAAATACGAAAATAGAAGTTTTATGAAACATATTTTAGAGTAAATTTTTACATGTGACATTAGTATCATTTAGGTAATTGTTGAAATATATTTTTAAATATAAATATTATTAGCAATACTGTCAACACTTTAATTGGTTGAGATGCATTAATGATCAAGGATTGATGATAATACCTGGCAAAATCTAGTAGTGTCTGATATGTAAAGACAACTCTTGTGTACACACTGTTTGGGACGATACTTGTTATGAAAGTCTACGCAGGTCTTTAAATGGTTATGTGATAGTCCTCACTTTTTCCTTCTCCTTAATCTTTGTACTCCGCTTTGTCTTCATTTTTTTGTATCGATCGTTATTGGAGAAAAACCATAAATTTTTCTTGAACCTTTGTTTTAATTGCGAAGAACTAAGTTTTCATTAAAAAAAAAAAACCTACACAATCCAAAAATTTTGGGTTATAGTTTCTACATTTTAAAAACTTGTTCCTTAACTTCGTTTTAAAGTGCATGGACTGTTTTAAAATGTCTGAAAATGTTTTCAAATGATACTTATTAAAAAAAATTATTAATTTTACAAGGAAAAACATTTTAAACATATGACATCATATCTTTTTTATTATATTTTGCATGTTTAACTTTCAACTAGTTTAGTTTAATTTACTATTGAGTACGTTGATTTAGTTTAATCTATAATTTTAAGTTTAAATTTTAATGAATACAGTTATGATAAATACTTAGTTTAATTTAGGAATGTTAACTAAATTCCTTCAAGTTTAGGAAGTTTTAGAATTAAAGATTGTATCATAAAAAAAATTAATAAAAACTTTTTAAGCTACAGTATTTAAAAACATCCAAGAATACAAGTAAGAAGGTTTCATGCTCAAAATAATTCTCGAAAATTTGTTTACTTTAAAAGTTTGGTAAGTATTTATGAAATTATAAATCGTTATTTTCAAAGGTGGTAACAAGATCAAGAATGTAGTAACTTATGTACTAATATTATGCTTCAATTCACTAGTACACATATTTATGGTTAAAATATGATTAATTGCTCTCAAAATATAAAATTCAATTTTTTCTATAAAATTATATAAACTTTCAAATTTTTGTACAAATATCTTTGTTTATATAAAATTCATAATACTTAATATATTATTTCTGTTATTTTAAATTAAATTATATTTTTGAATTATTGTAATTTTATTAAATCTTTATATTTAATATATTATTTGTGATTATAGAGTTAAATTAAAATAATTTTTTAAAAAATAATATTTCAAATAATTTTATTGTATATATATATATATATATATATATATATATATATATATTATTTTAAAATAAAATACACGCGGATATCTAATAATACTAAATTCCCACTCGTGATCAGATCAGGTTCTATTAATTCATTCACAAATTTAATATTAGTCTAAATGTATTTGTTGCCTTTTGACACCTCATCTATATATTTAAATTAAGTGGAGAAGGTGTGATTTCAAGTTCTGATAATAATAATTTTGGAGAATATCCAATATATTGCAGAACTACTAAAATCTACTACGACTGGAATATAATAGAAAATCATAGAGAAAAAGATACCTGTGATACAAATTATAAGTATGTAAGGAGTTTACATAAATATGTATTAATTACAAGTTTGTTTTTTGTTCAATCAGCAAGCTAATAGAATTAAGTGCAGTAAGTAACAAAATGAATCACATACTTCACAATGAACTTCTTAAAATAGATCATAAATTTCAAAAACTCTGGTTAAAGCAATTATCTACATGGAAAAGGTAATGCCACAAGAATAACTTAATTAGCTTTACTTTTAATTAACTAAATAACTCAATTATCCTAACAAAGCCAACCAAGAGTGAAGTAGTTGAAGAAAATTTAATACCCTCTTCATACCAATTCCATAGTCTCTAGCATTCAATTAAAAAACTTATATACAATCTTTAAATTAAGATCTTGGTAGTCATTTGGCACCACCAGCTTGCTAATCTCTTAATACAATGAAACACCCATCAAAGCCATGGAGGCCATTGACCACAAACTGCTGCGCAATTGAGGACCAAACTATCTTTGAGAATTTTAGTGGCTGCAGGTCCTCAACCAGTTCCTACATGTCAAAGGATACAGCACAATTACCTTCATTTCATTGGTTGTCTTTCTCTGATCTTAGTCATTCCAATGAAGATCTTGCACAGTCTTTTGGCTCGGATTTGTACGATTTTCAGCTGAATGAGCTGCGTGCTGTTACTCAGAATTTTTCGAGCAATTTCTTGTTGGGTGAAGGAGGGTTTGGAACAGTTCATAAGGGTTATATAGATGGTAACTTGAGAAGGGGTTTGAAAGCTCAGCATGTTGCTGTTAAGGTTCTCAATACTGAAGGCTTACAAGGACACCGCGAGTGGCTTGTAAGTATATAAATATTTCAACTTTATATAGTTTCTTTATGATAAACAAAATTGAATTAAATTTTATTTTTTTTTACCCGATTAAAGTTTTAATGATTCTTTATTATAATTTTCGATGGAGGGTGTTGATAGAAACAAAAAGGTTTTCTCTAAGATATCCAATTTAGAGAATTATAATTTATTTATTATATAAATTTAATTAATTATAATTTTATTTGTTATTATTTTTAATCTTTTGCTTACCTAATTTTAATTCTAAGATTTTGAATGAGTAACCATTATCTTTAAAAAATAAAATAAAATAAAAAGAAAAAAAGTTGTAGCATCTTCATCATCAAAAATGATATTTCAAATTCAAGCAATATTTTTAATATAAAATTATATTAAATTTTTACTCTTACTTAATCTTTAACGTAAAAAATATATTTAAATATTAAATTAATTAACTTAGAAATATTTCAAAAAAAAATTGATAAAAGTAATCTTATAAATAAATTAATCAAGACAGATTAAAGTTTCATAATTTTAAGCAAATCAAAGTAGATTTCAAAATTTAGGTATTAAAATTAATGAACCTTTTCTTCAACAGTCAACTTTAAATTTGAAGTTATAAGCTTAATATGACTTGTTTAGCATCACCTACTTGAATTTTAAATTGGTGACAGGCAGAAGTGATATTTCTAGGGCACCTAAGACACCAAAATTTGGTCAAGTTGATTGGATATTGTTACCAGCATGAAGAACAGCTGCTTGTATACGAATTCATGCCCAGGGGAAGTTTGGAGAATCACTTGTTCAGAAGTATGCATTATATTATTACTTAATTTTTATTATTAGTTAAAATTTATTAAAACTATAAAAATTAAAAAATCTTACTCTTTTTATTTTCAATTTAATTGTTTTTTATAGTTTTATAATTTTTAATAATTTTTCACTAATAATTAAAAATGTGTTAAAAAAATACATTACTAACTCATGCTATGTGAAAGCATTGTTTAGTAGGGAGAGATTATTTGTTGGAACCATGTTTCTCTTTCTAAATAGATCATATGATGTAACTCAGTTAGGACACACTACATGTAATTGCAGGAAGAACATCACTTCCGTGGGCAACGAGATTAAAGATCACAATAGGTGCAGCTAAAGGTCTTGCCTTCTTGCATGCAGCTAAGAATCCGGTCATTTACAGAGATTTCAAGACTTCCAATATCTTGCTCGATTCAGTGTGTAATCCTTTTTCTTTTCATAAAACAGTAAAGGAACCACTTAGAATTTGTTAAATGTCATAGGCAATTTAGACTCGTCATTCTCAATTTTAACTAGCTTTGGACCCTACTCCAAGTCACAAATGTCTCTGTTCTTTTATTAATTGGACTTATGCTCCTTTTCCTGAAATTTTAGGTGTGATTCTGATTCAATATTAGGAAAAGAGTGAATTTTAAAATTGAATGACTTGTTTGTCTACGTGAAACTTTTATTACGCAATACTTGGAGTCTATTTCATTTAAAGTTTGATAAAATTGATTTTAAAATGTTAAATGTAATTAATGTGCTTAAATTAATTTGAACTACATATTTGTATTATAATGTGTTTTTCCTAATTAAAAAATGTGAAAATTGATGTTGTAAGTTTAAAACAAAAGGACTTGAGTATCATGTGGTATGGTTCTTGTTAAAACAGGACTTCACAGCCAAACTTTCAGATTTTGGACTTGCAAAAATGGTGGCAGAGGGATCAAAGTCACATGTTACGACCAGAGTTATGGGCACCTATGGATATGCTGCCCCTGAATACATCTCCACAGGTAATTGTTCATGTAGCTTATTTTGTGACCCTTTTTAGATCCTGTTACCCTCACTTGGGAAGATTAGTAATTCACTAATACACCAAGAGAAATAACCATATGATATTTGACTTCTAGGAAGAAAATTAATTGTGAAATTCAATAATTAATCAGTGATTGAGTCATTAATTATCATTTTTTGGCTCACATCGCTCTCTACAAACGCAATTTATGATGAATGGTCCACAGGGCACTTGACAACAAAAGGTGATGTCTATAGCTTTGGGGTAGTCCTTCTAGAACTGCTTACAGGAAGGAGAACAATGGACAAGAGAAGACCAAAGACTGAGCAAAACCTTGTAGATTGGTCAAAACCGTACTTGAGCAATGGCAAGAGGTTTTTGTGCATTGTGGATCCAAAGCTTGCAGGCCAATATTCTGTCAAGGGTGCAAAGGAGATGGCTTTTTTGGCATTGCAGTGCACAAGTTTGAATCCTAAAGACAGACCAAGAATGCAAACAATTGTTGAAACTCTTGAAAGGCTACAACAGTTCAAGGATATGGCAGTTTCATGGAGACACTGGCCATCATCACCACAATGTATTAGAAATAGACCATCCAATAATATAAAAATTGATCTTAGAGGCGGTGCAAACCACAGGCAGTTTTCTCCTCTAGTTTCAAACAAAACAACTGTAAGAAAACAGAGTATTTGAACAAGAGTATATTATCATACTTTTCATTTATTTGTACATACTTTATATAGATACAATTACATTATGTAAAATAGGAAATGTCCTGTTTTAAAGAAAACCAAATATCTCTACTATAAATATAAAGAATTTGTTAACTAATCAAATTAACCACAGCATTATTCTAACAATTACAGCAAATCATAATAATGATAATATATACAGCTCAGGCTAACAACAACTTGATTTTACCAATTGAAATGATTGCTTTTGAAGTTTGTATAAATTGATCTGCCCACACAAAATGACTATTGGCCACCCTGCATATAAAGTAGCATAAATTCAACACCATTTTTATGATCAATCTATTTTGTAAATATTTAAAAGTAATTTTTAAAAGGTGATCAATTTACAATGTAAATGTTTTGACACTTAAAAAAATAGACAATTTTATAGAATACATTAAAGGTATATTAAAAAGAGTATATTGCTAGCATTTATTAGTATGATATTCAATTTAGACAAACTTTATGTATAACTTAAAACATTGCTTATGCAATTAAGGGCTCCTTTTCAATTCAAGATAAAAAAGAGTAGATAATGGATTTGATCTTGAACAACATTTAAATGCTATTATAAGTATTGTTATACTGTATTTCAATTACGATTAGAGCTTTACCTCAATAATATATGTTGACATTTAATGTTAGTGTATTAACTTTTAATGTTAATCTTTATTACGTAAATTATTGAGGTAAAACTTTAAATTTGATTAGAGTAATACTATGAGTATTAATACCCTTAAGTTTTCTCTTTTACTTAAAATGACATCTTTCTAGCTTGTACTCAACATGTAACAAAGGTTTTCATCTAAATCAAAGATGCTTTCTATTCCCATGCAATTAATTATTAAGGGGCTTGGCATTAAATTGACCGTGTGGGGAGTTCAAGTTTGGGTGATGAACTTCCAACTTAATAAAGAATGAACTAAATGATCACTGATAAAAAACTTGACACAATGAAATTAAAAAATGTAGACGAAATCCTACTTTTCTGAGGAAATGAGACTTACATAAGACTTTTGATTTTTAAGGTTTTGGGTCAAGTAAGATGTAGACTTTTTTTCGGTTACATAGGTAAGAAAAAGAAAAACAATTAATAGCTAATATTTAAAGCTAAGGTTGGAAAAACAAAAAATATAGATTATTTCAAAAAAAATTGTAAAAAATGCTTTTTCGAATCAACGCAAGTTAAGTTGTCAGTTACGCATTTTTTACTCTTTGGAATAAGCCTAATTTCCACTTTCCATTTTCAAAAGAGCATGTTTTGCACATATGAATATCAAACTAGAAGTAAGTTATAGATTATTTGATTATTGCCTTTATATATATATATATATATATATATATATATATATATATATATATATATAAGTATATAATTTATGATTTTTTTCAATATCTTTGGTTACGAATATTAAAAAATTTATTTTATACTATGTTTTTTCATTTATTTAAACAAAACTATTAGTCGAATGATATCTTAATAATTTTAAAATATTTATTTTTGTGATAATAATATTAGACATTGTTGCTGTCAGAGTTACGATGAGAAACAAAAACAAATAAGAAATAAAAACAAGCTACTATTAATGTTTTTTTAAACAATTTTAATAACTTAAAAATTTGTATGTTAAGTCAAATTTAAATATGAGAATCTAATTATACATGATGTTAATATTAGAAAAAATAGATACACTAATTAATTGTGTAAAAATAAAGTATTTATTTTATTTTTACAAAAATAAGTTTTACTTGTAAAAATAAATAAAAATAATTAACATATAAAAATATGTATAAAATATTTATATATCTTTAAATATTTTGAAATAAAAGAAAAAATTAAAAAATTAAAAAATAGTTAGGTTCGATGAGTTTTAATTGCCACTCTCAAATGCAATGAAAAGATTTTTTAGTCGTGTACTTCTTAAATGAATTTATTTTAAAGGAATTAGTTTGAAAAATAAAAGGTTTAAAAAACCTTTATAGAAGAAGTGTTTAAAAACAAAATGAAACTTTTCAAGAGAATGAAAGAAATTTCTTTGAGAGTATTAAAAATGACTTCTATAATTTTTAATCCTCTTCTATGTATTTTTAATTGTAATAAAAAAATAAAGTTACATAATTTTTTTAAAAAAATTATTTTTAAAAAGTTTATCTTGTTTTAAAAATAAAAAGTAATTTATATATCACTATTATAAATTCTTGTATTAATAAAAAATTATAATAAACTAATTATTTATCTTGTTTTGAAAATAAAATAATAATTTTTTAGTAAACTTAACCGTAAGACTAAGTTTAAATATCTATAAATAATTTTTATTAAAAAATATAATATTTATTACACTTTTATATTCTTCTAATAATAAATATTTTTTAAAGTAAAAAACTATTAACTTTAATTTCGTATCCTTGATCTAATGTTTTTCATAAAATAATAATATAGGATTTCAATGTAAAATATACATTTTGATTTTTCAAAATAAGAAACATACAAAATAATTATTTATTTTATTTTTGTAAAATAAAATAAAAATATAAGAAAATTAACAATTAAAAATATATTTTGAATTGTCAAAAGAATTTATAAAAAAATATTTTTTTATTTTATTTTTAAAATAAAAATATAAAAGAATTTATACACTTAACTTTATAATGTAACAAAATAATATATTGATCACTATTTTTAATCATTTCAAGAGTATTCTTTAATCTTCAATTAATTTATATGATATACACAAATTAATTTTTATAAAATATTGTGAATCATGGAGCCACACACCTTAAAAATAATAAATAATAATTTAATAACGATAAAAAAAAATAACATTCTAATTACTGTTTTACTACTATTATTATTACTATTTAGAAAAAAAAAGTGGCCTAATTATCACAACAAAGGTTATTAGTTATGTGTTAATAGGTAATAAAAATAGTTATTATTATTTTTTTAAAACATAAATATTTTATTAAGGACAAATTTAGAGTATAAGGATACTTTAATTTGTTATAATTTTAAAAAGAATTAACAATACATGACAAGGGATTATTAATCCAATTTATATATACAATGGATCTTTTCAAAAACTTAACTACAAGACACTTTCGAGAACGATACTTAATAGAATCAAACATTTCACTAGCATTTAACATACTGTTATTGAAGAAAATATTATTTTGCTGAAGCCAAATTGTCCATATTAAGGTAAATCACACCATTACAACTCCCCTTCATTTATTGGATTCCACACATGCTTAGTAACTTCTCGTTAAAATTTTCAGATAAGCATAAACTAATACCAAATCATTCAAACAACATGTACTATAGTTTCTTAGAGACACCACAATGTAAAAAAAGATGCAATATGTTCTCATCTTTAGTATCACACAACCCACAAGCTTCCAAGAGAATCGTCAATCCACGTTTAGTCAAGTTCTTCTGCACTGACCTTCTAAATTTTGTGTAAGACCTGCACTAGACCCAACTCCAAACCGCTACCTGCAACGAAGAAATGATGAATATAGTAATGAGTGGATAGCACACTATATTTCTTGTTACCATCACACTTCTACAACAACATGTCATTCACATTTTCTCTCAGTCTCTTACCCTCCATAGTTTCTCACAACTGTTGTTGTAAATTCTCCTCCCATGAAAACAATTGCATTCTCCAAAGAATTTTTCACACCCATTGACCCATCTCAAATCGTTCGTTATCCATCACCCGCATCTCCTTATTGGTTGTTGCTAAAAACAACTTTCGGTATAAATTTGCCAATACTGTTTGTCTTTCCAAAAACTAAAAGAACAACCATCACCAAGTACTCGTGTGACATTAGAATTTATACACCCATCGACTTTCTTACAAACTCACACCACGTCCCTCCACTAATCTGAAGCACTATAAATTATCCACTAATCTGAAGCACTATAAACTATCTTCAAAGAAATTAACATATTAGCACATGATCCATATAGTGCCCGTAACACATCAAAGCATAACGAATTTTGAGACTTTAATCCTCTGCAAACCCATTTACCCAACAAACTCCAATTGAACCATTTCACATTTCTCACCCCTAAATTGGCTCTCATTCTTTGGCATGCATATTCTTTCTCATTTAACTCAAGCTATTTTTAATAATTTCTTCACACCACTCCAAAGAAACGGACGTTGAATCTTTACTACCTCCTTAATTACACCTAGTGGCATTTTTCAAAATGATAAATAATGTAGTAGAAAACTATTTAAAATAGCATTGATAAGTGTTACTTTACCCCCAATAGAGATGTATTTGTGCTTCCAAGATGCTAATTTGTGATTAAACACCTCAACAAGTTTTTGCCAAGCACTTTTTCTTCTTGGTTTATCCTCATAGACGCCTAAATACTGAAAAGACGAAGATCTCACCTTTCAATTTAGAAATTGAGATGTTGTGTCTAGAAAATCACTTATTACATTCATCCCCATAATACAACTCTTATGAAAATTAATTTTAAGCCTGAATATAAGTCCAAAATTTTGTAGAATAGCCTTTATCATCCACAAATTCTGCTTAATAGCTTCGCCTATAATCAAAGTATCATCTACAAATTATAGCAACGAAATTTATGGTCCATTACTAACTTTGACCTCGGAAAAAGACTCTTTGAGACAACACTTTTCATCAATTCCCCTAAACCTTCTATTGCTAATAAAAATAAGAAAAGAAATAAAGGATCGCCTTATTTGAAGCTTCTACCAATTGCCACTTCTTTTGTTAGGTTCCCATTAACAAGGATCGATAAATGATCATCACAAATACAAGCTTCCATCCACCTTACCCATTTCTCTCCAAAGCCAAACTTTCGTAACATATCTAACATATATTTCCAATCCACCAAATTGTATGTTTTCTCATAATCTACTTTCAACACAAAACATTTTTTTTTTTTGCTTTTCTTAGCATAATCTATCACCTCAT